CCCCGTACTAGTCCTAGCCGCCGAAGCCTCGGGGCTGGCACAAAAGTAAATCCCATGGGCAACAGAACCTGGCTCCCCGCACAGCGGGCAGCAACCTGTCGAATGATAACCAGCCTGCTGCGCCCGATCCTCGGTCCAGAGTCCGTCGCAAAAGACCGTGTTGACCAAGTACTTGCCTTGGGCATTCAGTCCTATGCCTCGGAGTCTAGGCTGAGTGATACGTCGCAGCGGCCCGACGCAGACGCGATCTCCTACAGGCCACCCGAGCTTCTGTCCCAGGACCCGCTCGTGGTGTCGTTGCACCCCTTCTTTCAAGAGCGCGGAGATCATGGCAGGGGAGTTGTAAAGCAGACTCAACTCGACTCCCCTATCGTCGGCCCACATCAAAAACGAAGTCGATTTCCACCCGATGCGAAAAAGCGACAACACCATCCGACTGATAGGACCCCTCGTCTTCCCCCATTTCCACCCCTCAATTCCTTCCTGGGAGATGGAGTCCCACATGCTGCGAAGCTGGGGCAGCGTGAAACTGGCCGTGCACGGCGCCGTCGTGGTGCTCCACGCAACGGCTGCCCAAGCGAGCGCAGGAGCGACCATGCTCCTCCACATCGGATCGCCTAACAGAGCTGTCTTGGCAGTGGGTGAAACCCCTCCATGACACGGCGCCTGATAGGAAAGCATCACCCCTCGCGCACGCTTAAGTTCAGCGTCAGACATGCCAGTCACCGTATCTCCAAAACTGACCGCGGGCTTAACGCCAGCGGTGTAAATCTTACCGATTCTAGTTTTGTCCCTCGGCAGAGCTTTCCTATACCTCTGGAGCCTTCGGCGTCTGCGAATCATGCCCGCAACTCGGGCCTTGCGTTTGCCAAGAGCTTGTTTGGTGCTGCGTTTCACCCCGGGAGCTAAATCGACCCCGAGCGAGACCACGTGGGCCCCGACCGTCCCAGCCAGCGTTCCGAGCCTGCGTCCAACTCGCAGCGACAAGTCGGGGGTGGAGCCAAAGGTCATGAGTTTATCGGGGGCCAAACCAACACCTAACTCTTCCTTAAAGACACGTTCCAGGTCCTCAGCTGCCTGGCCGAGAACTTGGACCACATGGTCCGCCGCGCCGTACGCGCTGACGGTGTCGTCGTCGACGTGCGAAGCAAGGTCAACAGCAGGATTCCTGGCCACGAAGCCGTCGAACGGGACCATAGCATAAACTTTAACGTTGGTATCATTCAGGCAGGATCCTGCTGGCAACCCACACTTCGCGTACATCGGAGAAAGGCTGTGGTCCGAGCCAAGCCGCAAAACCCGAGGCCCGCGCCAAAAATTGTAGGTCACCTTGACCACGATAGGGTTAAGGCCCGCCTGCAGGGAGCGATCCCTAAGCGTAGTGAGCCTGAACGATTCATAATACTTGGTGCCATCCCAAGAAAAACCTCCCGTGACACCCCCTTCGGCCACTTGGGCCTCCGCTTTGACCGCCTGCCTCCACATTTCAGCCTCCGCCGGCTTCCCCGCCCCAAAAGCCCAATACTTGCGCGGGTGCGCGTCGCAATACGGGAGCAACTGCGGTCGCCTGAGCTTTTCCCACAGGCGAACAGGAGAGGCACAGAGCAGGACAGGACGCAAACCCCCTTTTGGCTTCTCGAGGAGGGGGAAAAACATCCAATACAGGGCCTTCGGGTAGACCCCGATCTTTTCAACAGTTTGAAACAGGCAACTGAGCACTTCGAGCCCCGCGTCGGGGAGCAAGCTGAAGTGCCGCACATGTATGCCGTCAAGTGACTGCGCAGTGTGTGGTGAGAACCCTCTACTGGCAGCTCGAATGTCATCAGGCTTGAGCCTGTCGAAACAATTTCTGTCCAAAGCCTCCAGAGGTTCTGGCATGGACGTCGCTTCCCAGAATTTACCTAACACGTTGGCTTCATTCGCGAGCAGCTTGCGCGGGTCGGCCGAATAAATCCCAGGAGCCGTTTCAATCACGGTCGGCATCCAAGCGCTTTTGTTCCGAGTCAGTTTATGTATCTTGCGAGCTGATCCCGAGAGGGCTTCCGTCTGCCACTGGTCCCAGCTCACCTTAGCTTTATTGTCGAGGCCAGCGCGAGCTTCGGCAAAATCCTCCTCCCAATCATCAAGCGCTTCGGTGCATCGATCTATCCACCCAGACAGATTTGCCGCTCGCTGAGGCCAAGACTCCGCCAGACGGCGCGCCGCTTGCACAGTGGTGTCGAGTCGCACAGCTCGGCCTTCAGCTTCAAAAGGCTGCTGAACTATATGTACTAAGTTCCTGCAGGCCTCGAGCTCGGCGTGGTCGACGAGGCCGGCCTCATAAATACGAATGCTGGTCTGTTGAAGGTCTCGCATGGTCTGCTGGAGCCAAATCCACCCTTCCCAGACTAAAACCTCCTCCTCGACCTTCCCCTTCGGGGGGAAGACAATCGAAACCCACTTAGCACGCAAAGGCTTGCCCCTGCCCCCTCTGGACTTTAAAGTCACCCCCGCCAGATTTTCGAGCTCAACTTCCATGACATCCGAAAATCGTTTCCAAGCCTCATTCAGCAGAGTCCAAGCAAGAGTGACAGAAGCACTGCTGGCGCACATGTTGGCCTCCTCGGCCAACGTCCTGGCTAATCTCCAATCCTGGGGCTTTGGTGACGGACCAAAAGGGACCTCACAGGGAATACGTTGGTGGGTCTGATAAACAAGCTGTTTGAGTTTTATCGCACCTTGCTTAAAGATAAGCTGCACTGGCCGATGAGGTCGCTTGGGCCAGTTCTTCACAACATCGGTCTTGTCGACCATCTTGGCTACCGCTGGGGACACAACGAAGAAATCGATCCGCGAGTGGGCCTTCGCCGTCACACAGGTTTCGATCTTCGGCTGGAGGATCAACATATCGGCTTTCCTCAGTAACCCCGTAAACTCGATAATCGTCGGCCCCAGGTTCCAATCAGCCCCGAAGATGGCCATGTGGGTCCCCTGGAGCGTTTCCCCGATCAGTTTGAGCAGCTCGAGGTTTCGCTTCGACAGCCCCTCGGTGGTGTACAAATAAGCACAGCCAGCCAAAATCGGCGGCCACCCTGGTATGTCTAACATCGCAAAAAGTAGACGGTGTTCGACGAGTACCCCTCGCGGTAGGTGTGGAGGCCAACGAAGTCCGATACTCGTCCTGGCAAAAATCGCTACTCCAGCCGACGTCTGCCCCGCATCGCAGGGTACCGAAGGTGTGTAGAGCATATGCCATCCCATACCAAGAGCTGTTGCAATCTTGTCACCCACATCTTCGGCCGTGATCCCGATCTCCTGGGCGAGCAGAACCAAGGCTGAGCTCCGCGCAAGACGTTCCGAGAGCGTGCCCCAGCTGTTACCGTCATAGGACTCGCACACAAACAGGAAATTGTCTGCCGTGGGGTCGTCGGCAATCGGAGTTGGCGGACAGCCTGACCCCATGGCCGAAATCTTGAAACCAGTGCACAGCGGCTGGCCTGCGAACGGGGCCAGACTAGAATGCTTAACGTGATCTCGGTCCCTCCCATGATACGAGCATCTGAGTTCGTCACTCGAGACGCCCGAAGGGAGGATCCGCTCCTGGTGTGAAAAGGTGCCGTGGGAAAGCTCCGCTCGCCGAAGGCTGCTGCTGTCGTGCCGCTGCACTCCCGAAGAAGTGCTCAGAACACGACGTCCATGTAGTGCATCATGATGTGCGCCGTCAAAGATGCCCTGGAGCTGGTGGCGCCGCCGTCGGTACTGTTCCCGTTGAAGGCGCAGCTCCTGGCGAGAGCACCCGAACCTTCTTGAACTTGGCGGCCACCAGCGTTTGCACGATAACCCGTTTATCGCTTCGGTGCTGCTCCCAGAAACTTTCAGCCTCTGCGGTGGACACGAAAGCATCATCCATTTGAGCATCACCAGAACCATCATCCGCAGCTTCAGTACGCGGCTCCTGCTTCGTCCTGGACTGGGAGTAGAGCTGCGTGAACTGCTTGAACGCGTCCGTCTGGATGAGCGTTTTGACTTCGTCTTCGCCTTCCAGCAGATGGTCAGGAATAGTGAAATCAAAATCGCCACCACCAGCGACCAGAGGAGACTGCTTGAGCTGGCCCCTGATATCGTCGATCTCGGCCTTGAGCACGATCTGCTTCGCCTGAAGCTCGTCCCTCTTGGCCGTAGCATCCTTGATCGCCTTCTCTTGCTCCTCGGCTTCCTCGACTGCCTTTCTGAGTTGACTCTCCTTGCGCGCCAGCTTGTGACCCAAGTTGATGTGCTGCGTAACGTCACTCTTCTGGCCTTCGATCTGCTTGCGCCCATCACGGAGTTGGGCCTCAAGAGACTTGCGGGCTTCATCCATGTACTCACTCTTGCATGCTTTGATCGCCGTTTCCAACTCGTTGGCCTTGGCGACCAAGGCATCAGGTTTCTCATCTTTATCATCAGCGCCACTTCCCCTCCCACCACCGTGACCGTTGGACGGGACGTCCTTGGTGGGCGGGGTTTGCTTGGTGAGCTGATCCAACTGCTTCTGCATGGCGGCAAGCGCCTTGGCGAGTCCGACATCCTTGGGCTGCCCACGCGGAGCACCACCGCCACCACGAGCAGGAGGGTTGCCACCACCAAACGACTTGGCGCGCTGAAGGACGTGTGCTGGTGCCGCTTCGCCGCAGCGGCACTTGAGGCGACACGCCCAGTTACTCGTTCTTCCACAGGACTGACATCCCCAGAGAGGAAGTTTCGGTCCTTTGACCATGTCATTGTTCATCGGTGCTCCTCCAGGAGCTCACTGGAAGAGAATCACTGTCGTACCGAGCCAAAAAGACTCGCACCAGCTGCTGCCGCTCTGAAGAAAGCTGGTGCAAGCCCAAAAACTTGGGCCAGAACGGCTGAGGAGGAGGAGGAGGAGGAGGAGGAGGAGGAGGAGAGAGGAGCACCCCATCGTTCCCAATCACACTCCCTTGTCCTCCACACCCTCTCTCCTCGACCCCGTCCGCTCGCGGCGGGATGACCGGCGGCGCCTGCAGCAGCGGGTCCGGCAGCCTTAGGTCCATCCTGCGGAGGAGCAGGGCGACGAGGCGACCGAGGCGAGGGTGGAGACGAGGTGGACGGAGGACGAGGGAGAAGGAGGGAGGAGGAGGAGGGAGGAGGGGCGATGAGGAAGGAGGAATGCGAGGAAGGAGGAGGGAGGATGGGGAGGGACGAGGGCCCTCCAGGTAAACGGAGGAGGCAGGGAGGATAGAGGGAGGAAAGAGCAACGAGGAGGATGGCGAGAAGGAAGAGGAGGGAGCGGCGAAGAGGGAAGGCACCCCTCCGAACCCTCGCGCTCGGCCCTGAAACCTGTCGCATGCTGGCTGATCCCTCTAGGAGCGGCATCGAAGGGGAGGAGGACGAGGAGGAGCCTTGACACCCTGGCACAATGAAAACGCACGACGAATAATGCTCTGGTCAATATCCGGGGTGTTACAAACTAATTGGACGGGTGTGCCGTGGTTTCGCCTAGTGCCTGGTTGATGGCCAATCCTGGGCGCCTTGTGGGGGCCCCGTATGCTGGGGGCACCACATCATTTACACCGCGACCTTTCATCCAATAGCCTGCACCACATCGCCTGCAATGCATACCTTACAACACATGTGGTGCACCATGCGAAGCATGTATGACATACGATGCAGCCTGGATCTTGCACCGCGTAGCCTGCATCAATGTTTTTCTTCATAGCTTGCACCATGTAGGTCGCACCATATAACTTGCACCGCAGTGATGGCAGCACGCAGCTCTCACCGCATAGCGTGCAGCACATATACACTGCACCGTACACAGAACGCATGTTTGCCAGCGTGGGCCCCAACACCGAGTTATTGCACTGTGGATGTGTAGCGCATGTGGTGTCATATGAGTGGTGGGCGCTACGTGGTGCAACACATGTGGCGCACTGTATGTGGCGCTGTGTAATCAATGCATTGCAAGCTATTTGGTGCGAGCTGTGTGGTGCAAGATCTGGGAGGCACCCTATGCTGTGCACAAGCTGGGCGTCAAAATGCGTGATGCGTTCTGTTCATGGTGCACTATGGTGTAACATCTGCGTTGCAGCATGTGGTGCAAGCTATTGGATGCAAGCTATGTGCTGCAGCCCATTTCGTGTGGTGCGATCGATGTGGGGCACCCAGCGCACGGGGCGTCCACGAGGCGGACACGTGCGGGCACTTGGTGAAACCCCAACGCACCCACCAAGCGCTCGGGGTCCCCACAAGGCGCCCACGATTGGCCATCAACCAAGCACCAAGCGAAACCACGGCACACCCGTCCAATTAGTTAGAACCCTGCTCAATGCAAGCACTGCTTGGGGGGGGCATCTCGAGCATGCCTCGTCGTGCATGTTCACTATGCCAGGGTGTCAAGGCTCTTCCTGGTCCTCCTCTCTTGTCAATTCCCCACCGTCTAACATCATGACTTGCACCACATAGCTTGCACAACATTGATGAAAGCATGTAGCGCTCACCGCATAGCGTGCAACACATACATTGCACCATATTGCACATACACCGAACGCATGTTTGTCAGCACTAGACCAAAACAGTGAATTACTTAACTGTGGATGTATGACGCATGTGGTGCAGAGTATGTGGTGTACGCTATGTGGTGATATACATGTGGTGCGCGATATGTGGTGTAAGCTGCGCGATGCCAGTTACGTGGTGTAACCAAGGCGGTGCAAATGGAGCGGTACAGCACGCGTGGTTTAAAAGCTATGTGGTGTAAGACCTGCGGCCCAGTGTACGTAGAAGTTACGCGGTGCCAAATCCATGATGCGAGCTCTGTGAAGCAAACTGTGCGGTGTAGTGTACGTGTGTGTGTGTGTGTGCGCATGTACGCGGTGTAAACGACGTGGTGTCACTGAACATTTGAAATTCACGTACACGGTAAGAGCTAGGCTGTGCAGTCCATGCGGCGCAGGCAGCGTGGAGCAACACGGGTGGCGCAAGCCACGTGGCCCCCGACGGGGCGCCCACGAGGCGCCCACGGGCGGCCACCAGGAGCGAGCCTGGCCCGGAGGAGGAGGAGGAGGAAGAGGAGGAGGAGGAGGAGGAGGAGGAGGAGGAGGAGGGAGGAGGGGAGGGAGGGAGGGAGGGAGGGAGGGAGGGAGGGAGGGAGGACTGGACTGGTCCTCCAGAGGAGGCGGTCGGAGGCCTCATGCGTGGCCGCCTTTTCGTGGGGGGCGCCTGGGGCCCGGGAGGGCCGTCGTGCGCGACCCCACGCCGACCAAGCTTGAGTCCGCCTCCGCATTCTGAAGGGGGAGGAGTGGGTGGAGCTGGGCTACAGGCCCCGCCCTCCCCAGCACCGTCCCGTCTTCGGAAGTGGGGGGTCGGAGAAAAGCCTGGCCGTGGAGGGGGAATTGGCCAATCGGAGGAGAGCCGGAGGGCCTCTCCGATTGGAGCTCTTGCATGACCTTCCGACCGAGGCCCTGCCAGTGCATGGCGCAGATGCGTGGCGCGGCGTCGGAAGGAAGGGGGGGAGAGCCATTCCCAGGGAGAGGAGGGGGGAGGGGCCAATCCACCTGAACCTCAGCGTGCCCAGCCTGGCTCTGCCCGACCCTCCGGCTCCGGAGGGAGGGAGAGGAGGTGGGACGCAGGCAAGGAGGACGGGCCGAGCGGAGGAAAGGCGAGCTTTTAGTCCGCCACTGGGCCCCAGAACCTCGACACAGCGAGGTCAATGTCTCTGGCGAGGGTGGCTGCCTCCGCGAATCCGGCCTCCCCTGGGCGGACCGAGAGGATCTCGCGGACCGCTGCTTCCCTGGACGGCGGAGGCGGGGAGCCGCGCGCTGCCCAGAATGCCGCTCTCGCCACGCCAGTGTTGCTGCAGCTCCCCAGGACATGCAGCATGGGGCTGAGAATCTGCCCCTGACAGCAGACACAGACCTGCCGTCGGGCCCTCGAGCGGACTCCTGCTGAGTGGCTCAAGACAAGGAGCTGGCACCGGAGCCGACTGAGGGAGCGCTGGCCGAAGAGGGCCGTGCTGGGCAGGCGCAGAGAGAGCGCTGTGGAAAGGTCATCCCGGGGCACTGGGCCGAGCGAAAGCGGGGCGGGCACTCGGACCCGCGTGTGCAGTCGTAGGCGTAGGGCTGCGCTGCATCTGGCCTTGAGGGTGTCTCGGATGTGTGCTTTGTACGCCGGGAGGGCGGACTCCCCCCTTGCAGCGCCGACCCAGGCAGGCGGACCCAGGAGGAGGAGGAGGAGGAGGAGGAGGAGGAGGAGGAGGAGGAGGGAGGAGGGAGGAGGGAGGAGGGAGGGAGGGAGGGAGGGAGGGAGGGAGGGAGGGAGGGAGGGAGGGAGAGGAGGAGGAGGAGGAGGAGGAGGAGGAGGAGGAGGAGGAGGAGGAGGAGGAGGAGGGAGTCACGGCCGCAGCGGGCAGCAGGCGAAACGTCGGCACAGCCGGCCCAGCGCACGACGCACACGCGGGGCGCCCACGGGCGGGCCCCGGGCGAGGCCTCGACGCGCCCACCCAACGCACGCCCACGAGGCGCCCAGGACCAGCCACCAACCGGGCACCACGCAGACCCTTCGACGCACCCCTCCAATCACTCAGGACGCAAACATGAACCCCTATGGCGAGCACCGTTTGGGGAATGGCAAAAGCTTGCAGCGCACCTGTCGCACATCGGTGGCGCAAGAGCCCACTGCTTGGTGCCCACGCTGGCTCGAATCGCAATGCCTGCCTGTGATCACAGGCCGCGGCGCGCGCGATAAACAAAACCGACTTTCCAACGGAGTCGTGGTCTCACTTGAAGATATAGCGGTCACAACCGTGACTAGAACGAGCGCCCGACCGTCAGGAAGGCGGTCGACAGGCGCGACCAAAAACGGCTCCGCTGCGGCGAAAGGCTTGGGCCAGAACGGTTGCAGCCGTGAGAAAGGAGCCCTAGTTCGGAGGCGGCGCGTGGTTTCCACTCGTCCTGAGGGGCAACGATAGGGGGGGACTGGCACAGGAGGGGATGCATCGACCTGGAATCGGCGATACATCGCCGATAGAACGGCGATGGGCCCCCGATAGTGAATCCGCACCTTCCTGTGCAGGTTGGGACCATCGGGCCCCCTATCGGCGATCAGTGGGCGATTTGGGGTCGGTGCATCTATGCCCATCCCCCCCCCCATCGTTGCCCCTGACGTCCACGGTAGGTGTCGCGGGCCACTCTCCAGCGGGCGTAAGGGGAGGGCCCCGCGGGCCAGCAGCCAGGCTCTGCCTCCCCGGAGCGGCGCGGCCGCCGTGCCCGCGGAGGCATGTGCGAGCGCACGCGGGACCGGCCGGGGCCGCCCTGGAGACGTTGTCTGCCCGCCGCGGTCGGGGCGAGCAGGCTGCGAGGATCCTCCTCCTCCTCCTCCTCCTCCTCCTCCTCCTCCTCCTCCTCCTCCTCCTCCGCGCCACCCAAACCTTTTTACAGTCCAGCGAAGCCCAATGGCACAGGAGGACATAGGAGGGGGAGGAGGAGGAGGACGGAGCGGGGGGGAGGCCAGAGAGGGAGAGAACGAATTCCGACCGATTAGTTAGTCCGGCGGGACGGGGCGAACCTGCAGCCGCGGCGCAGCGACCCCACGCGAGACACGACGAATGCTGCCGCGGAGTGCGTGCTGTGGGGGGGGTGGCGGACGAGCGGGCCCCCCAGAGTCCAGAGGCACTCGCAGAGAGCAGACACTCCACCCCCAGAAGTGGCATCCCGGCAGGCGAGGACGTTCAGTAAACGCACCCATGGAAGTAATCGAACAAGGCAGGGCTGCGTAATAAAACGCCCAGAGCCGTCGAGCAAACGTCAAAATCGTCGGGGTCGTGGTGGTTTGTGTTCCTCCCTTGAGCTCGGCACTCGGCCCCACCTTCCGTGCGGATCTCGCGCCTGTTTCCTGGGGGCCCCTGGGGCCCGGAACGGGCCCCCAGAGGGGCCCGCGCCAGGGCGTCGCCGCCTGCCGCAGCCGAGGTGGGGTAACCCACAGAGGAATGGGGACGGAGGAGACGCCGACGGCCGCCCGGTGAACCGGCCCTCTGCGACCGCGGAGGGGACCCTTCTGCGCTGATGGGACGCACAGAGGCATACTAGTACTAGGTGTTCTCCTTGGATGCGCGCGTCCGACCCGAACATCTTGTATAACCATTTTGTAATATATCGATTCTCGAGCGGGACGCATGTACTACAAGATTTCTCGGTGCGCGCGTCGCCCCTAGCGGGGCGACGCAAACATAGCATGAGTGTGTTGGGGCGACGCCGAGCTGAGGCCAGGCCCCCCTCCTTCTCCTCGGCCTCCTCCACCTCATCAATCCATTTTCCTTACAGTTAACCCCGCCGTACTCCCAGATATGTGAGTAGAGCGAGCCGGGCGTTACGCCTCAGACTTCCTCGCCATGCCGCTTACGATCCAGAAGCTTGACACCCTCATCAGTTCAACGGATGGAGCACATGTCGCTTTCGAATGTGGATCTCGCCGTAACACCGCGCACATTGCCCTTAGAAGCCTGTTAAACAAGTAACACCTGCTAACTGGGTTCCACGCTTGCGGCCCCGTCGTGGCCGAAACGCGTGAAAACACGTGCCGAACGCACGCGTGCCGAGACTCACGTTGGAGACCCCCCCTCCGCACACGTGATGCTACGTGTCCAATTCCGGCGCAAGAATTCGGCACCTGCCAGTTGGGTCATTCGCTTGCGGCCCCGTCGTGGCCCGAAGCGCGAAAACACGTGCCGAACGCACGCGTGCCGAGAATGATGGAGACCCCCCTCCGCACGCGTATTTTTACATGTCCGAAACGGCGCAAGAATTCGGCATCTGCCAGTTGGGTCCCTCACTTGTGGCCCCGTCGTGACCTGAAACGCGTAAAAACACATGCCGAACGCACGCGTACAGAGACTCATGTTGGAGACCCCCCCTCCGCAAACGTATTCTTACGTGTCAAATTCAAGCGCCGCTGATCGACACCTTTTTGGTACATGGCCTTTCGCCCGCAAACTTAAATAGAACCTTGGGCAGGAGCCCTTGCAGTGAAAATGGGGAATATCGTTTGAGACATCTTCGAACCTCATGGCCAAACGAGCATGCAACCTTGTGTTCAACAGTTGCACTTACACGTCTAGGGTGGTCTTGATAAAAAAACGGTGATCTCGCTGGGCACTTCGTTGAATTGTGTGATCTCGAACTTCCCCAGTACGCGCAAGAATCATGCAAGCCAGATGCTTTCCAGAACGGGGCGCTCTCGCCCGAATGGCATGCCATTGGGAGACTGACCCGTCCGAGGGAGCACCTCTTGCAATAGAGAAAAAGTCTCGTGTGGACTTCCGAGGCGGGACGGGGGGGGTGTATTGCAGCATCGTTGGTCCATCTTGGGTCTGCTCTGGTCGTCGTCGTCGTCGTCGTCGTCGTCGTCGTCGTCGTCTTCCTCCTCTTCCTGCTCCTTCTCCTGCTCTTCCGCCCTCGTGTCCTCCGCCTCCGCCATCTTCACATTCACCTCCTCCTCCTCTTCCTCCTCCTCCTCCTCCTCCTCCTCCTCTTCCTCCTCCTCCACGACCACGACCTCCTCCTTGTCCTTCTCCTATCATTCCAGTCCTGTTCCTAGAGCAAAGGGGCGTCCTGCTGCAGGACCACAGCAGGCTGGCCAATTCGTGGGCCTCTATGTCGTCCGTCCGCTCCTGCGGGGCTCGACACACGATGGGAGGGATGGGGATCGGAAGGAGGGGGGGGAAGGGGAACAGGAATTGGGGAGGAGAGGAGTGGGAGGGAGGAAGGGGGGGGGAGAGGAGGAATTGGAGGAGGACGAGAGGGCGAGGACTGTGGGACGGAGGGAAGGATGGAAGAGGCAAGATGGCGTGAAGGAGCGAACGCGGAATACAAAACGGAGGGATCTCCTCCCCCCTTTGCATTGTCCTTCCCCCCGCCCATACCGCCCTACCGTCGTCCTGCTTCCTTCGCCTCCTCCTTCTCGAGCTCCATGCGCGGGCCGCCCGCCATGTCTGAACGCCTGTTTCGAATCCTGCCCTACTGGCGGAGACGGCGGGGGACGCCCCCTGTTCAGCTTCACTGCGTTTGCGCCCGGGCGCGGTACATAGCACGCCAGCTTAGCGAAGGCCTGCCACGACAGACAGTATGGCACGTGTGCCTGTTGCTTCTTGAATTGGGTTGACATCGACGTCGATCTAGTGGCATGCAGACTCAAGACACGTGCCGAACGAGTGGGCACCCGCAGCTTGCTGCTTTATATGTAGAAACTGCGGCAGAATTCAGACACGACGCTGGGCGATCCCGGCAGTGGACAAATGTTGTGGAAGCGCCCATATTCGTGGCACCGTGTGCAAGAATGGGGACGAGCCACTCGGCTAGCTGCTGCGACCTGCGATCCACGAGTAATAACTACCCGCCTATCTACAGCATAGCTGCCTGGCCCATCCAAGCCAGAAGGAGAGGACGAGGAGAATTGCGCCGCTGCTTCCCATTCGGCTTCGATGTTGACCGTCCTGCCAGCCATCGCTCGAACTCTCCTGTCGGCAGCGCCGCGGCGCAGCCAGTGCATTTCCACGAGCCGCGCGGCGCCTTCGCAGACGCCGCGCAAGCCCGGCACTTCGGCTTCACCGCGGAATCTGTGCTCCACATCCACGGCGAGAGCGCCAGCTCTGGCTCTCGAACCTCGCACTGAATGCAATCTCGCACTTTCTCCTTGAAGCTGGCAAAGAGTGCGCTCCGCGCCCGCGCAAGATGCCCTTTTCTCTTCTCGCGCCCGCGCACGCCTTGCATTTCCCTTCTGCGACTGCCACTTTCTCCTGCGTGGAAGCCGAGACCTCGCCGCGCCTTTTTTTTTGTCTGGCCGCGCTTCGCGCGTGGAAACGTTGCCTCGTCTCGGGCTTCCCTCTTGCGCGCCATGCTGATCCGCTCCTCGATGCTCCAGTCCGCCCTTGCGAAGTCAGTCGCCGCCTCCTCGCGCGCGCAGCGGGAACGCGTCAGCTCCCGCTTCAGCTCGTCGCAGTCTGCGCACGCCCCTCCTTTGCATCGGGCGCCCATGCCCGCTCCCATTGTTACTGCGCGAACTACCTACGCACGTCCGCCCCCCGCGGGCAATGCGTTGCCTTCGCCCCGGGCAGTCCGCGCAGCGCCGCGACGTCAGCTACGAAGGGCGGCGCTGGGAAGCGCGGAGGGCATCCTGGCCCTTCCACAGACTGCACCCCATGCGCTGCCACGGCGTGCCCACGCACTTCTTGCCTTCCAGGCACAAGCTACACGCGCGGAGCCGTCGTCCCGACTCCGCTGCCCAAGGGCGCGCTGGTTCTTGCTCTTCGCCGACGTGCGCAGCGCGCACCTCCCCGCAGGTATAAATTCCACATCGATGGCGCCCCAGCCCAGGTCGCCCCCGCGCAAGGATTGCAAAACCAACGCGGGCCCCTTCCGTTCGCCCAGGGCGTCCGGCGCGCGGTCGAAAGGCCGAAACTTTAACGCGCCCTCGCGCCGTCGAGCCCGCGCCGGAGCCGCGTCTCCCGACGACGGCGACGTGCCCCCCTTCGATTCTCACGTCGACAATGGCCCTTGCTGGAAGGTCTGGCCCCGTGCTGGGTGAGCCGCGACTCCGAACGCAGGCGCCGAGGAGAACGGCCGTCGCCTCCCTGTCGAACGCGGACGCGGAAGGCCCGCGCCCGCGACCAATCCTACTCCCGCAGCGTCCACGGGTGCAGGCCAGGCGCCTGCAGCTTTGGAATCGCCCACTTCCATGGAACGCCTGCAACTCCCCCATCAGGGCCCAAGCGGCAACATAGCATCCTCGCCGCCGCGCGCCACGGGGCCAACCCTTTCGTCGCCATCGCACGCCCGCGAACGCACGCGCCCCGCCCGTCCGCGAAGGAAGCGCCGTGCGCGAAGGAGGTAACTGTCTTCGCTGCAGTCGACGCGAACGGTCAGCGCGACGGGCATGCATCCCGCGACGGGCAGGAATCCACGCAGGCCCCCACTCTCTTTGTCGCGGTGCTGCGACCAGCCCATCTTCCGCAGCGGTCGATCTAGCCGTTCTCGCAGCGCGTCTGGTGCAGGCGCATCGCGCGCCGGCGCGATCGCCGTGGTCTTTCGCGCGCGCGGGCGTGCTGCGCCGCCCTAAGTTTCATTGACTCGTACTTGACGTCGTCGTTCGGGAATGCTCCAGGCGCGCGCCGACACTTCTCCGCGTGCACTGGCGAGTCGTCTGGCCCGTCGATTACATGGCAGCGCCGTTCGCGTTTCTGCTGGCAAGACTGGCATTCCTGACCTCGGATGTCTCGAGATCTCTCAGGGCGATGACGACGCGCCCCAACCGTCGCCCCCAGCGGCCAGCGCCCCCCCTCCGCCGCCACGCAGAGCTTTACACTTCGCACTCCCGCGCGGAACCTCCCCGCTGAGCCAGCTCCCTGGAGCGCTCGCGCCCCTCCCGCGCAGGGGCGCGCGCGAATTCTCCGCCAGCGCTCTGGCGCGAAACTCCCCCCGCGCAGCCTTGGGCCACGCGTCGCCGCAGCGCTCGCGCTCCTCCAACTCTGTCACGCCCTGAACCCCGCCCTCACTACCACGCCGCAAAAGCGCTATCTTGCCCCCGCGGCGCTGGGGGTCGAGGCAGACTGCCAGGCTGCCGCGATGCGCTCGGTGAGCACGTCTGCGAAAAACCCTCTGTCCTACGGCGGCAACTGCCCGGCGCCCCCGCTCAAAACCACATTCGAACCGCCGAGCGATAGCAGCACTACGCCATCATCGAGTTCCTGCGCGCCCACGTCCCAAATAATGCCAAGCAGCTTCGCGTCTACCTCTGCGAGCAGTCGGGCGCTCACCATGCTGATCTCGTCGAGGAACAACCACCTCCACTGCAGCGCGCGCTTCGCCGCTACGTACTGGAGCTTCGCATCGTCTCCCTTCTCGCCCCGGCTTGGTTTCCACGCGCGCGGTGCACGGTGCCCCCGCCGAGCAGCTGCACCATGACTGCCTGGAAGGCCGCGATCTGGAAATGCACGCCAATGGCCCACTGCTGCAAGTATTCAAAAACCTCTTCGCGCAGAACCGCAGTACGAGCGACTTCCCCGTGCCTGGCCTCCTTGCATGCAACGCCGCAACGGTTCGCCCATGTCTCCGCCCCCTCCGGCCTCTCCGCCCAGTTCTCGCATTGCACTTCTGCGACCTGCCTGACCGCATATCGTGCTTTCGCGCTTTCACTGCACGCCGCCCGGTCTGCTCGTCTTCTCTGGTCTTCAGCTTTCTGAGCCACTCCGCCGCGCCGGCGGACGTCGCCCCCGCCAGCGATTCAACCTTCCCTCCGCGCCACTCGGTCGGCCATTGTCTGCTTTTGCTTCGAGATTTCCGCGCTGCAGCCAGCGCGCCGTCCAGGTCGCAGCGCGCCGCCTTCGGCCACTCATTCCCCACCTCGCTGAACGATTTTTTGCATGCGCCACCCAATGACGAGACGTCAATTCACCGTCACCCCTAGTTTGTTGTACCCACCGTGGATTCCACCAGCCCATGCGGGCGACAGGTGGTTTAATTGGTTTCCTCTTCCAAGCCCCTCCTTACCCTTCGGGGCGAGGCCTGTCAGTGCTCCTCATTGATAGACACCCCGCCCCTCACCCGAGCGGGGCCAACCAGGGACGTGCTACCCCCCCCCCCCCCCCACCACCACACACACACACACACACACACACTTGATAAAAATACGGCATGCACTGTACCACCACATCTGGGGCATGCGCGAACGCCCCGCGGCCAGTTCCCATTGACTGTGGACAGGGATTTCGAAGGCGCCGTCATATTGCTCGCTGCGCGCAAGCGAACCATCCCTGTCAACAAAAAACGATGCAAACAGCATTTCGCCTCCACATCTGGAGCATGCGCGGACGGCCCGCCACCAATTTGCATGGTTTTGAACACGGACTGCGGGGGCGCCGACATACTGCTTAAACGTGGGGCGAGTCTACCCCACACCGGCAAGATACCCTCACGCCACCCTCTAACACGCAGAAATGACCCCACAACGACCGCTTTTCTGCGGTCGGCGGCAGAGGCGGCAGCCTTTAGATTAAGCCGCGCCTGGTGCTCAGCCGAAGTGATTGCTTCAATCGCTTGTTTGTGGATGGGGTTCTAAAGTGGGGTTATCCGCTGAGCTTCATTGTTTACTGGTGGTTGGGGATGGGTGTTTCCTAGCCTGTTCGTCCTTTTCTCTTCCCCTCCCTGCTTCCAGTCCCACTCCCTCGATGCGCCCGTGAGCCCGCATACGTGGCCGTGGGCTACGTGCGCACCAACATGGCCGTGTGCGAGGAGTCGGGGGGGAGGAGCAGGAAGGAGGTCCTCTCAGTCAGTGTAGACAGACCTTTTTGAGGTCGTAGTTTTGTGCCTCCTGAAGCCCACGCTCAGGGGCCCCTAGTGGGTTAACTCCGGCTGGCGCTTCCACGCGAGGCGGCGCCCGCACGGCAGTTGCAAGCTTGACTCGCACCTTCGAGGAGGACCGACCCGAACCGAACCTCCCTCTCCTGGTCCCACTTCTGCCAGATCTCCCCCTTATCGTTTAGCCGAAACAGAAGATGACACAAAAGAAAGGAAAGGGGGGAGTACGCGATGCCAGTGCACCCATCACCGCGAGGAATGGCGCCCTCGCGGCCCGCTGACCTGCTCGCGAGGTCAGACACAGCAAAGGGCGCGAGTG